AACAAGAAAGTGTTTCCTTACAACAAAATCCCCCACTTTCCCCATAGCACAGGTGTGAGATATTAGATGTTCAGAGAATTTATTTCATAATCTATTCACTGACTACACAAAGATTAAAAAATGTGTCCTTTATCATTTCACTGCTATAATTTGGTTATTGTTTGTATTAACAAACATTTAATAGTCTACCTCATGCCTCTTTAGTGCAAGGACATGAAGGTCAGCTGGTGTTTGGAGAGCTGAATGGAAAGCAGTGCGTTTGCATGCAAGGCCGCTTCCACTTCTATGAGGGCTATAACATTGCCACAGTAAGTATCATGCTTAAAATCTCAAAGGGAAAATTGAATTCTCAATGGATAAGGCATACTATAATATTGCACCAATAAATCTCCCACCTGTAGTTCACAAGAAAAAGTATGAGCATAGAACAAAATGGAAAAGCATATGGGATTGGATAGAAAATCTAGGGGTGGGGTGAAGGCACACTGTCAGTTGATGATTTAAACATCTTGGTAACACAAATCTGAAAAAATTTACAATACTCAATCCTTTAAAAATGGACAGTTTAGACAGACGGGGAGGAGGGGATACAGTTATAGCCTACTATATGGTTTTGATGACATATATCAGATCATATTCAATCTTTAATTTCCTGTTTCATAAAGAGGAGAACAGTTTTGTCACAGCGGCTCTAAATCTTATACTATTGTTCTGTTTTAGGTCACATATCCAGTAAGAGTGTTCTTCCTACTCGGGATTGAGACTCTGATTGTGACCAATGCTGCTGGAGGACTCAGTCATAAATTTCAAGTGGGAGACATCATGTTGATCAAAGACCATATCAATATTCCTGGCTTTGCAGGCCAAAATCCCCTGTGTGGACGCAATGAGGAAAGGTGAATTGCTATGCAGTACAGTAAGATGTTTAATGTGTTATTAAAACCCAATCATATAGATTTGAGATCATTTTTTTATAATTATAATTAAAGAAACCTAATTCTACCTAACTCCAGAATTTGAAGAAAAGCATTTGGATGAGTTCTTTTGATTTTTGACTTTGTTTTAAACAGTTCAGCCTTCGTTCTGCTATTAACCTTGGTACAAGCATTTCTCTAATGATTTCTGCAAGCAGTCCAATGTTCACTGACATTTGTGTTCTGTCCCTGTAGATTTGGAGTGCGCTTTCCCTGCATGTCTGATGCTTATGATAGAGACTTTATACGGATGGCCAGGGAGACGGCCCAAGAACTAGGCTGTGACTCTTTCATCCAGGAGGGTGTTTACTGCATGTTGGCAGGACCGTCCTATGAGACGATTGCAGAATGCAAGGTTCTACAGAAGCTTGGGGCGGATGCTGTGGGTATGTACTGTGAGACTACATAACACTACTATCAAAAATGTTATGAGTGGGTAAGACAGCTGAGTGCATGTATTGGAGCTTATATAAATGCGTATGCAAAGTATTGTTTGATTTTAATATTTTTATTTGCAATTTATTCTGCAAGGATGCATCAAATTGGTTAAAAAAGTGGCATCTCTTTATGCTACATAAGATTTCTATTTCAAATAAATGCTGTTCTTATAAACTTTATTTTTTCATCAAAAAATACATAATGTTTATACAAAATTATTAAGGCACGCAGCTGTTCAACATTGGTAATGATGAGCGCCATCTTGAGCGTCAAATCCACATATTAGAATGATTTCTGAAGGATCATGTGACAATGAAGATTGGAG